ACCAGAAGAGTCACTAGTCACAAACAGGCCGTTTACACTGGATCTCAGAATGCAGGCACCGCAAATTCGGCACGCCCACGAACAGCATGCCTGTGCCCCTTTGCGCCAACCCTGGCCCCCGGCCCTCTCCTGGTCCTGCCTCAGGGCTCCCCAGCCCCATGCGTCATAAAGGGCACCACCATCGCTGCCCAGTGACCCACGTCAGTGCTCCAGGACTCATCCTTATCTCATCCTGCAGGGGAATCAGGGCCAAAAGGCAGGCACAGGCCATACCGAGAGAGAGAGAGAAGTGTGCGGGAGAGAGGAACAGGGTGACGGAGTGTCCCGGATGGCCCGAGCCTGCGCTGGCTTGAACACTGAATGTCTCACACCCCAGAAAGCCTTTCAGTCTCAAGCAAACCAAGATAATTGGTCATCGTGGAAAGGAGAAAATTTGGGAGAACAGGGATGGCCTTGTGGAAGAAATGACACCCAGAAGAAGAAAAGGGGACAGCATGTGCGAAGGCTCAGGATGGAGGGACATCAGTGTAGGGGCGGAGGCATTGAGGGAGGGAAGGGAACTCTGGAAAGGCGGGTGGGGGCTGGGTCTCGGAGGACCATGCATTGGACTTGACCGCTGAGTGTCACAGGTTTCTCGGAGCTCAGATAGTCAGATCTGCCTTTGCAGGCAGGTGTGTTGAGAGTGGACCCTAACATTCACGAACTGCCAATGGCTTGAAGCAGGAGCCGAGCGGTCAATGATTTCTTAGCTGTGATTTTTAAGGACAGGAGCTAGACTTTGTCTTGGGGACAAATGTTCCCTGTGTTTTGGGAAGAATTTGGTTGGGCACTCTTAGTCCACTTGATATGAAAGAAGTCCACACTCGTTGTCCTTGGTACAACCTCAAACTTTTCTGAAATGATCCAGGACCACCTGCGGGGAAGAGGAGGCCCACGCAGGAGGTGCCAGGCTCCCCAGTGAGAGACCTCGGACGTTCAGTTCAACTGCGTCAATAATCTGATTTCAGTACTCACGTCCAGAACTGGAAGAACATATTCACCCCATCAGCCAAAATGGTATCCTGGCACTGAGCCGCAGTCTACAGTGACCTACGTTATTATCTTTATAAATCCTGTGGTGGGTACAGATATAGTGTATTGATACTTTTGTTGAATATGGTAATGTATAGGCAATAAAAACATTCGAATGTGGACAATTTGCATTGCCCTATTTTGGGTTTTTCCACTTGTTTAATATATCAAGAGCCTCAAAAACTGGAAGTGACCCAGACGCCCCTCGGACCCTGAGAGGACTTGCAAAGGGCTGCGCCTCCAGCTACAGGAGGGCCTGGTGACCTCTGCTGGCCTCCACCGTGCTGTCTTCCTTGTACCCCTAGTCACACGCAACTTAGTCTTGTCTGGTTTTACACTTTATTTTTTATTATAGTTTACTGGTTATGCCATTACAGTTGTCCTGATTTCTCCCCCTTTGCCCCCCTCCACCCAGCACCCCCCACTCCCTCAGGCCATCCCCCCCTTGTCCATGTCCATGGGTCACGCGTGTAAGTTCTGTGGCTGCTCCATTTCCTATGCCGTAATTTATACCCCGTGGGTATTCTGTTACAACCTATTTGCACTTCTTCATCCCCTCACCTCTCACCCGGTTCTCCCACAGCCCCCCCATCCCTTTATCTTTAACCTTTGGGTTTTAATTATGATGTGACTGGGGATGGGAGGGGGCTTCTGTGCTTCCTGGACTTGCATGTCTATTTCCTTCACCAAATTAGAAAGTTTCCTTTCCTTATTTTTTTTTTCAAATAGATTTCCAATTTCTTGCTCTTTCTCTTCTCCTTCTGGGACCCCTTTGAAACAAATGTGGGATTGCTTAAAGTTGTCCTACAGGCTGCTTACACTATCCTTGTTTTTTCTGGATTCTCTTTTCTTCTTGTTGTTCTGATTGGTTGTTTTCTGCTTCCTTGTGTTCCAAATCATTGATTTGATTCTCAGCTTCATCCACTGTACTGTTGTTTTTCCTGTAAATTACTCTTTATTTCAGTTAGTGTATCCTTTGTTTCTGACTGGATCTTTTTAAGCTGCTGAGGTCCTCGCCAAGTTCCTTGAGCAGCCTTACAACCAGTGTTTTGAATTCTGCATCTGATAGATTGTGTACCTCCATTTTTTTTAGTTCTTTATCTGGAGTTTTGACCTGTCCTTTCATGTGGGCCTTTTTTTTTTTTTTTGCAGCCTCCCTGTGTTTGTTTCTATGTATCAGTAAAGCTGCTTTGACTTCATGCCTTGGTTGTGTGGCCTAAGGCAGTGGAGTCCTGTAGGGCCCAGTGACACAGCCTCCCCCGTTACCTAAGCTTGGTGCTTGAGGTACACCCTTCACGTGGGCTGAGTATACACTCTTCTTGCAGTTGAGCCTTACCTGCTGTTGGGAGATCAATAGGAGGGATTTCTACCCAGGCCAGTCAGCTGCAAGGATTGGCTTTGACCACTTACTACTGATCTCCATCCTCTATGGTGGATCAGCTGTGCAGGGACAGGGTGGTGGTGCTCTGTTGAGGTCTGTAGCTATCCACTGAGCACACTGGCCCTGGGGTTTCTCGGGCGGTATAGGTCAAGGTCAGCCCCCACCTGTGTTTTGCCCAGGCCACCCTGCCAGAGTTATAAAGCAATCTGAGATGGCAGCTACTTGTGCTGGACTCGGAGATTTCTAGGCGAAGCCAAGCTGTGAATCTTGGCTGCTAGTTTCGGGCCTGGTGCTTGCTGAGGCCAGCTGCTGCTTGTTTGAGAGGATTTAGGAAGTTGTGAAGCATGAGCCATTCCTGTGGAAAAGCAGTTTGAGTGGGCCCATAAGTTGGGTGGGCCAGAGTCTCTGCGGATCTCCAAGGCAGGTCAAACTGTTGGCCAGATTGATGGAATCTTTAATACTGCACCAGTCTGCTGGCTCTGTGGGAGTAAGGACCAGAAAACAGACAATGGCTCTGCCTGCCTTGATGACAAGCAGCTCAGCCTCCCTCTGCACACCACTGGTGCCCCTCAAGCCGCCTGCCTGGCTCTGGATCCCCGAGGGAGTGAGTCCGAGTAGGTGAGTCCGTGTGTGGGTTCTTTAAGAGGAACTGCTTAGGGCTCCAGCAGTTTCTTCCACCAACTCAATCCCTGCTGGGGGGAGGAACCTGTTTCCGAGCTCTCTGTGCTGATCCGCTGGTTCGTTCTCAGATCAGTGTAGGAACCATTACTCGTCACATGAAGAGCAAAACTATGAAATCAGAAACTGTCATGAGCACTCGTAGCCCGTCAATGTCTAAAGTTAATCCGTATCTTCACCCCTTTCCTGAATAGCCAAGGACCCCAGAACAGCAGAACCATCCATCCCTGTCCAGCCTCATCTACTGTAACCCTATGTGGTTTGTCCTTCACAACACATGTTATTTTGTAACCCGTATTTGCTCAGATCTGGCACATATCTAGCCCTTTGTTCATCGCCCTTCTTTCATCTCAGGTCCATCTGAGATCATCTTCCTTCTGTTCAAAATCCACTTGTTGACAGAATGCATTTGGTGAAAGTCTGCTGATAGCGGACTCAGTTTGTTAGCCTGCAGATGTCTTCATTTTACCCCCAGGCTTCAAAGATAATGGCACTGAGTAGAAAAATCCGGGATGGCCGTTGTTTTCTCGGCCCGCTGAAGATGCCGTTCCACGTCCGGTGTCCACTGCTGCTCCTGAGGAGTCGGTCACTGCAGTCACCACCCCTTTGTCGTTGGCTTAGTTCCCTCTCTGCATGCTGGTAAGATCTTTATTATTTGGTTTCCTGCCCTGATGTATATAGATGTGCTCTGTTTTCACTCATTTTGCTTGGCATTCATGAGGTTCCCTTAATCTGAGAACGTGTTTCTTTAAACAGTTCTGGAAATTTTCACTTCTTGCCCTGTTGAATGTTTTCTTTTCCCATTCCCCCCTTGTCTCCTTCTGGGCTCTGACTGGCAATATTTAGACCTCCTCACTCTTCACATCTCTTGAGTCCTCTTCGCCACATGGCTGCATTCTGGATGGCAGCGTCAGAGCTGTCTTCTTGTCCAGCAATTCTCCCGTTAGCCTTGCTTACTGCAGTGTTGGACTCACCCGCTGAACTGTTCACTTTATCTACATTATTCATGTCCTCTGGGTTATTTTCAGGTCTTCTTGGTAAGTTTTATACTGCTCTTGTACTTGCTCCAATTTTCAAGTGTGTCTTTTATTTACTAAAATAAACTCTCCTTCTGATTATTCCACAGCTAACGTCTTTGTCGATCCAATCCTACTGTTTGTTGGTGGGCTCATACTCCATACAACTTTAACTGTACAGCTTCTTTGAGCCTCAGCTGAAGTCACATTATTTCAGAGGGGACATGGCTTTCCTCCTGCCAGCCGGCTGAGGGCATCACCGATCAGACAGCATGTTAAACCAAGTCTCCGTTCAGGTGTCCAGACCACACACAGACGTGGGTAAGCACAGACGAGAACCGTGTCGGCTAGCCGTGGCTACAGATTCTCGGGGAAGATTTATTTTTCTTCTGCACAAAGCACCAAGGTTGAGACAGAAAATTGGTCTTACTGTACCCTTCTGCGTGGTGGCTTTATTTATTATGTGCCCTTATTCTGAAGGCATAGTTCTTCGGGATACTAGGTTTACTCGGATAGTTCCTGTTAATATTCCCACTTCAGGCAGGCCCTAGAACGGGGGTGTCAAACTCCTTTTCACCGCGGGCTATATCAGCCTCATGGTTGGTTGCCTTCAAAGGGTCCAAATAATTTTAGGACCGTGTAAATGTAACTATTCCTTAACTGTGAAGGAGCTGAAATGACGTTCAACCCTTTGAAGGCAACTGCAAGGCTAATGTGTCCCCAGTGAAAATGAGTTTGACACTCTGCCCTAGACTCCAACTCTTATCTCCTGTGCCCTTACGGATACCATAAAGGAAGCTCAGTATCTCCACAGCTGAGCAGAAACCCACAGGGAGCAAGACAGCTTTTCTCACCTTTCTCCTAAGGCTCATGTTTTCATTTCCTCTTTGATCACTGAAGAATGTCTTCTTTCATAATAGGTCTGCAACAGGTTTGAAAAAAATAGATAAATACATACATAGATATAGAGACACATAGAGGAAGAAAGGGAGGGAGGGAGAGAGGGAAAAATGGAGGGAAGGGAGGAAAATAGGTAACGTACTTTAGTTGCTTCCATTAGGACCATTCGAGATAGAGGCCCTGGGGACACCCAGGCCGCCATACTCCACGTCCTTAAACTCCGGGGTTGCAACTCTTCACTTTCCCGATACGACTGTCAGAAACAGCAGTCAATGGGCACAGAGAACTTCCCCACAAACGCTTCTTCTTTCCTTGAAGTTGGGCATCGGCAGTTTTATTCATTCACTCACTTGCTATTCATATGGTAAGTGGATTTCAAGAGCCTACTATGTTTGAGCCACTATGAGACAAGAAAACTATCAACTCATTGTAGTAGGGCAGAATTATCAAAGAAGTACAAATCAAAACTCGAATATGTCAGATAAACTGTATAAAATACAATAATGTAAGTTTACTGTATCAGGACCCTAAAATGTTCTAATATAGAAATTTTCAAACACAGGCTAGAGCAGTTAGTATCATCCCCACGCACCCATTTCCCAGCTTCGACAAACAGTCATGGCCAAGCTTCCTGCATCTGTACTTCTACCCTCCTTATCTCTCCCTCCCATATTATTTTGAAGCTAATCAAAAGCATCCTATTTTTTCATTTGTAACTATTTCCCTAAGTACACCAGTTTTTAAAGCACAGAGGCCATGATATTTTCTGATTTTGTGTTAAGTCAGGTATCAAGAACCACAGTGCTTACAAACACCCACAATTCCTATATACCATCCTTCTCAACCAATCAGAGCAACATATTCTAACTGAGATGTCTGGGAAAGACAACCCTCTCCCCAAGAAGAGATTACAAATTCTCTACGCATCACCTCTGGGCTACAACAGCTTATCCATTATGGGGGAAAAGGTTCAAAGTTCTCTGAAAACTATAGTACTTATGATAACTCTCCAAAATACTGTAATGCTTAACATTAATCATTAACTCCCTCAGCAGAATCTCAGGAGTAAAAATGTGCCTCTTATTACTCACAAGGAAGTGGAATCTAATAAATATTTAGTTACAGAGGCAGTCATCCAAAGCCTGGATATCAGGGGTTGTAAATTCATGACTGGCGTATGAATGGGCGTTAACAGGGCCTATATCTAGTCCTCAAGTGTAATTCAGAGAAATTGACTGCTATGAAATGCTACCCTGATTTGCTGTGATCCCATTATAAGATATAAAAATCTACCAGAGCATAGAACTCGGTGTGATGGTGGAGACAGTGTATTCTCCTGCCCTTACATAAATACGTGGAAGTCACCACAAGAGGAATTTTCTACTCCAGTAATAAGTAGATTGGATGATTGAGCCCCATAAAATAGTGCTTATGTCTCATATTTAGTTTAAATTTGAAATCTCAAAAACCTACAAATGCTAGGCAAAAAAAAAATTGTAGAATAATGCATAGACAAAGTTATTTCTCCAAAATATTCAAAATGATTTTAACTATTCTAATGAAATTTTAACTCTTTCACTTAAACGTAATTGGTCCAGACATAAGGAAGAATTATGTTAAAGAACAGAACTTCGAAAATTATTATGTTTAATAACTGCACTTATACTCCTTTCTAGTTATAAAGCTAACTCTTTATTTAAATAATGCTTCTACACACTTTGATCATGTGTCTTAGTGTGTGAAGCTCTGAGCTGAAACCAAATCACTGCAAAGGAGTGTAATTTAAACAGTACAACCTCCTAGTGACTTTCATCAAACCTCCTTCTCCCCCATTAATAACAAAAAAAAATTATTTTGTGAATACACATCTATAGAAGAACACAGTCCCTGTGTTTATAAAAAGTTCTTCACTGAAGGTTTTAGCTGTGACATCTATTTGCAAAGTAATTACAGCTCTTTAAGAAATAGTAAGATCTGCTTATGGTGTGTCCAGTCTTGTTGGTGTATTATGTGTGAGTGTGTAAAATATCCACATATACATATATTTTTTAAAGGAAATCCTGCCATTTGCAAAAACATGGGTGTCCCTTCAGGGCGTCACACTAAGTGAAATAAGCCAGGCAGAGAAAGACAAGTACGGAATGGTGTCACTTACACGTGGAATCTCAAAGAGAAGGAAGAGCACAGTGACAAGAAAGAGAAGCCGTTAAATTCACGGAAACAGCAGACAAGTGGCTGCCAGGGGCGGGCTGGACAAAGAGCACAAATCTTCAGCTGCAAGATGAATACGGGCGGAGGGTCTAAAGCAAAACGCCGTGACTGTCGCTGACAACACTGTACTATGTCATTGAACTTTACTAAGAAACTAGAACTTCAATGTTCTCACCAAAAAGAAAAAATAAATTAAAAAAATTGTTCTTTATCACCAGTGTGACTAACTATTATGTAGCCACATCTGTCTCTTTGTGTACCTAAATTATTCATGGAGATTGCAAATAATCTTTATGTGTATATTAGGATGAAAAAAATTGCCAAGGGAAGTTCAAGGGCTAAAAGAACACCCCTTCCTGGTCCCTTCTGTTACCTCTGTTGAAAAAAAGGAAATTCCCCCCCCCCCCCCCCCCCCCCCCCCAGGAAAGCCTCTAGGAAAAGCCTCTGGTGGTAATTTCTGGAATGGAATGAAACAGACCAATTCACAAAGGGAAAAAGAAAGCCAGGCAAGGTGAGTCGTCAGCCGGGGAGGAGTCTCTTCCCCGCGAACGGTATAAAAGATCAGCTCATTCACCACAGAGGACAGACTCTGCCCCATCCTGGTTCTTACAGGCGCCCCCTCCTAGAACCCGCAATGGCTTTCACGCACAGAAGCTCCCAGAGAAGCCTGAGCTCCTTTCCACAGAACTCCGCAGGCAGCATGTACAGGAAGGGGAGCATGTTCCTGGGGGCCGCCCCCAGCGTCCACGGAGGGGCTGGGGGCCACGGCACCCGCGTCTCGACCGCCAAACAGATGGTGAGCTACGGCGGTGATCTCGACAGAGGGGACCTGCTTTTGGGCAACGAGAAGATGACCATGAGAAACCTGAATGACCGGCTAACAAGCTACCTGGATAAAGTGCGGTCCCTGGAACAGGCCAACGCCACGCTTGAAATGCAGATCAAGCAGTGGTATGAGATCAACGCACCCAGCACCGCTCGGGACTACAGTGCGTACTACAGACAAATCGAAGAGCTTCAGGCTCAGGTGAGAGATGACGCCTGTGTTTTCTACTCCACGGTGTAGCTGGGCGATATGTCAAGAGGGCATATACATGGGGGAGGTGGGGGGTTGCAAATGGATGTTGTAAAGCAAATAGGCTAAAATGCTCCAGCTGTCAAAACCGTATGTACAGTATTCTATTATCTGCCCTCAGTGCTGGAATACCTGACTACATAATAGGATGGCTGTAGATCACATTTTTTCAAAATTTTAATATCTGATTATATATAAAATATAAAAATGTTATCCTCCCATCTTATAATCTGTATTTTTGTCATAGTTTCCTAAGGTGAAGGCTAAGTGAATAGTAAACCTGTTGAGGTGTTTTTTTTTTTTTTTCTGAAAGAGCTAAATTTTTTAAATGATAATAAACTTTCCTTAGTTTTCGCCTAGTTCCCATCCACTTTTGAAACCCGGTCAACTGGGAGAGTTTCCTCCTTTCGTTTGTGGAAATGGTATAATACAAGTATTAGAGCACTGTATTATAGAGTTCAATGACAAAGATTCGGGGTGACAATGGGGGAAGAGGCATAGGTTTGAATGATCCCTGGATTTTTAAATGCCCTGCTGAGTGATCTGATTATCATCAGCAGAAACCACTTCTGAAGTAATAAAATGTTCTATTGCCCCAATTCAAATTTATTGCAACTGTATCAGAACCACATCATCTAAGAAGGGTGGGGTTCACTGTGCTATCAATGGTGTGGAATAAAAGAAGACTTTGCTCCTAAATGAACATTTCCAATGTGACACAGAGCACCTGTGCCACTTTGACATTTTTATCTGATCAAGAAAGGTATCCCTTTCCTCTTCCTATTTTAACCTTTGTTTTCCTGGAAAGCAAAGACAATTTACCAGCAAGTCTCTCTTGTATTGTATCAGACATCAGTATGATTTGATTCAGATTCTACAGGCAGTCACTTTGGAATTTCAGGAAGCATGTAGATGTGAGCGGCAAAGATGTTTAAATTGCATCCCTGGCCAGGTAGCTCAGTTGGTTAGAGCATCATCTTGATATGCTAAGGTTGCGGGTTCAATCTCTGGTCAGGACACACATAAGACACAACCAGTGAATGCAGTTTAAATAAGTGAAACAATAAATTGATGTTTCCATTTTTCTCTCTGTCTATCTATCTATCTATCTATCACTCCCTTTCTCTTTCCTTCTTCTCCCCTCAATACCCTCCCTCTCTTTCTCTTGTCCCCTCTCTCTCTCTAAAAAAAATTTTTTAATGTAAATTGCCCTTTCTGCCAACAGGCCATTCTTCTCAGGCTCCCACTAAAAACATTCCAAATCAGCCAACTTTCTCCCCTACCTGTCGCATGCTTCATGCTTCTAAATCTGCTTTGGATCGTCCCAAATCCACAGGCACAGCCTTTCGTCCATGTAGCTGGACAGACCGAGCATCTGACGGAAGGAAGCTCCCTCCAGGACAGGATCTACTGAAAGAGACGTGCCTTTATACCATTTCCTACCAGCAGACTTCTGACCCATGCACACCCTAGAGAATGCACCCACCAGGTCACAGCTTCTTAAAAGCAGGGACTTGTCCATCCTGATAGCCCCAGTGCACGGCACAGCCCCCACCACTAACCAGTGTTCATTCATCAGCTAATATCTAGTAGATGCTAACCAGGTGCCAGCCGCCATGCTGGGCAGTGGGAAATACGACGGTGAACAAAAAGGGATTTAAGGGAAATAGGCATGAACAAAGGCAACATTTACAACACTTACCCCGCACAGAATAAAAGCTAGGATGGAGGGCTGTGTGGGGCAGTGGGGACACAGGCAGTCCACCCGTCCAGTTCTATTTCGAGAAAATCATGAAGGCTCGAAGCAAGGAATGTACGAGCTGAGACGTGGAAGAAGATAAAGAAGAGGAGGAGTTTGCCAAGTGAGAGGAGCTAAGAGGAATGTTCTAAGCAAGAACACCATCAAAGGCAAGGCACTCAACAAGGTATAATGCCTGGAGTTGAATTAAAATCTCCTCTGGGCCTTGGCCAGTGTGGCTCATTTGGCTGGAGCATCATACCATAGACTGCAAGGTTATGGGCTCGATTTCCACCCAGGGCGCACATCCAGGTAGGGGCTTGATCCCCAGTCATCACACGTACTGGAAGACAACCAATCAGTGTTTCTCTCTCACACCGATGCCTACCTCTCTCTCTCTCTCTCTCTCTCACACTAATGAAAAAAAATGTCCTTGGGCGAGACTTATAAATAAATAAATAAATAAATAAATAAATAAATAAATAAATAAATGAAATCTTTGATGGAATCGCAGGAAAGCTGACCAAACTCTGGGACCACCATTGCATTTTACAAGCCTATTATGTTACACACCTGTATCATTATTCTTCCTTTCTATTTTCATGTGGAAATTACTGATATGAGTATGGTCTTTGATATAACAGTAATTGTATCTGAGGATAAACGCCATCGTTTTAAACTCCTATCCAGCTGAAAATGTCATTCTTTCTCACGTGTTTTCCAGATTAAAGATGTTCAGCTGCAGAAAGCTGAATGGATCCTGAAAGTTGATAACAGTAAACTGGCTGCTGAGGACTTCAGACTGAAGTAGGTTCTCTAATACCTTGGCGAAACTTCCTCAAATGGAATTTCTTTTAGTCAACCTTCATGACACCCAGCTTTCCACTGTTGGTAGAGGAGCTACCACTAAATGTTTTCAAGATCTTGGCATTTACAGGGCGTTAGAAACTACCTGGTCTAGCCCAGCACTTAAAACTGGGCTTCCCTCTTCCATGGTCTTAAGATTTGGCCACCCAAGTGTGTAAATGAACACCTCCAGTAACTACTACTGTTCTTGCTGTTGAGCTCTAGCTGCTAGAATGTTCTTTTTAAGTAACCTGGCATCTGCCTTCCCACTGACTGAGCCCTACTCTGCCCTTGAGAATAATAGCAAAGCTATTTAAAACTCCCCTTCTGCATAAGTGCCCTTCTGTCATCTAAAGACAGTTGTTGGCCCACCTTTGTGATTCTTTAGTGAGTCACCCACAGTCCTTCAACTGCCCACAAATGCATGACCAACGTTCCCGGGTGACTCTTGATGCTTTCTAGTTTGCCAGTTCTACAATACAGTCTGACCGACCCACGGACGAGGACTGTGATTGAATCCAGTGAAACTACAGTCTTGCAGTCACACCCCACTGCACGTGGTCAGAGTTGTTCTCCGTAAACTGCTTCTACACCAGGGCCTCCTCGCCTGAATCCGTACCCTGCATCTGCACTGAAAAGCACCTTATGTTTTAAAAGGGTGGCCTCGTACTGCTACAAGGGATCAAAACAAAAGAAAGGAGAAAACAGTTCTGAAGATTAAAGCAGTGAAAGGTCGCTAATTCCAGTTAATATCTGAGTGTCCTATTGCAGTATTATTTTTTAACTTTACTATTTTAATAAAAATGGGAATATATAAGATTGTAGAAGAGAATGCATACATTTTTAAGCATTTTTAAAATTATTGTTCAAGTACAGTTTTCTGTCTTTTACTCCCAGCCCAACCCACCCCCATCCAAGTACTCCCCACCTCCCTCCCAGAATGCATACATTTTTAAGAAAATATACTTTGGATGCATCCGTTTATAAAGTAATAAAAATAAATTGATCATGTATATTCATTAAGTAAATTTAACCAGCCATTTTTTTAAATCAATAATGAAAACCCATTTGCTAACACAGTAATTAAACAAACTTTTTTGAAATTCTGCTTAAATATATCCTGGAATTTAGGAACTTTTTAAAGTAATTTCAGATTGCTTTTTAAATCAAATTACAAAGATTATAAAGCAAATTATCCAATTCTTAGGGTCCCATGAACATTTTTGAAATGTATAAAGAAGGACAACAATGATGTATTGAAACTGACACCCTCCCATACCACTTAAAAAACCCATCTTACTATATGAAGATGCTCTCCTCTGTAATGGCTTCAGACAGACTCAGTGGTCTCTGCTCATCACTTAATTCACAGGTATGAGGCTGAAAGGGCGCTGTGTGTCACTGTGGAAGCTGACGTCCAGGGCCTGAGCAAGGTCGCTGATGACTTGACCCTACAAAAAGCAGATTTGGAGATACGCGTTGAAGAACTGAACAAAGACCTGCTTCTCCTCAAAAAAGAACATCAGGAGGTAAGGAAATATTCAGAAGTGGTATTGGCAATGGTAGAATGGCTATAATAATAATAATAAGGAAGATGAGGAGGAAGATTTGGGGGCGGTGGTGGTGGTGGTGATGGTGAAGAAGATGACCACAATAATGGTGTCATCCCTAACTACTTTTCATAAGGTTCCTGTTGGGGTTAAATAACTTAGAACAATACCACACCACAAAAAACCCTGCCGAATTGTTATGTTCTTCCTTTTTTATTCATTCCCAGTGAAGAAAGCCATAAAATGTATTATGTGTGTTCTGCCCAGCCTCCTCTGAGGATACACTTCAGATTATTTAATTAACCAGGATTTTCATTCTCGTAGGAAGTGGAGAGTCTATGCAAACATCTGGGCACAACTGTCAACGTGGAGCTAAAGGCTGCTCCAGGCCTGAATCTCGGGGTCACCATGGATGAAATGAGGAAGAAATATGAAGCCTTGACCCAAGAGAACGTTAAGAAGGCCAAGGAAGAGTTTGAGTTACAGGTAATAGCATAATTCCAAAGGATAAGCAAATGTGTTGAACTTGTCCTCTAAAAAGAGGTAACTCTTTTCCTTCTCTCCTTTCTTCCTTCCCCTCCCTTCCTTCCTTCCTTTTTTCCTCCTACTTATTTCTTCTTTTTTGGAATTTTAGATTGAATCTCTGCAGCAACAAGTCACAGTAGACACCCAAGAATTAAAAGCAGCTGAGGTTCAAGTCAAGGAGCAGAGACAGGTTTACCAGAACTTGGAGATCGACCTCCAGGCCCACCTCAGTATGGTAAAGCACATCTGACTCCCAGCTCTCAGTGTCCTGTGTTCACTAAGTGCTTGTGGTAGGAACTTTAAAAATGCTAAGACCTATAAAAATGAACCCCTCCCCTTGCAGAACTGTCAGGGAAACAAGCCCAACAGCTGATTACATTTAAAGGACAGAAGGAGATCAAGGAAAGGGAACGTGTACTGCAAGGCTGCACAGGAAGAAGCAGATCTGGAAGACCTCAGAGGGAAAGTGACGCTCAAACTGGACCTGAAAACTTAAGATGAATTTGGAGCTAGAGAATAGGGGTAAAGACATTCTGGGCTAAGCAAATCAGTCAGGGCATGGCAAGTTATGCCGTGGTAACAACCTCCAAATCATAGGGGCTTGCAGCAGCACTGCCTCCACTGTGGTCCGGCTGTGTTCTAGCTGGGGCACCAGTGTTGTAGCACTTAGGAAACAGCAGTAGTCAGACCATGTGATCACTCTTAACCTTCTCAGAAAAGGCATTTATCAGTTTCACTTAGCATTTCATTAGTAAAGAAAGTCCTAGGACCAAGCCTGCCATCAAGGAGTTGAGGAAGTCTAATAATCCACACGGAGAGGCCCCATGAATGTCAGGGAGGGAAGCAAATATTGAGAACAATAGTACAATACACAGTAAGAGAAGAGTAAGTGCAAAGCTAAAAACAAACAAACCCCCCTCCCAAGAGCTAGTGATTCTGGCTGGCTGACTGGGGTTGCCCAGATGAAAACAGTAAGAGATAAAGCTAGAAATATGCATGATGCCCACAATAACTAGCTGCACAAATTCCTCTCGGAGGCTATTAAAATTGAGCGCCCTCTTAAATCAAGGTCTCAAGTAAGAAACATGCACTTTTTCTTGTGCTCGTAGAAAGAATCTTTGGAGAGGACACTGCAAGACACCAATGCTCGTTACCAAAGACAGCTAGCCACCATCCAGGGGCTGCTCAGCACCTTAGAGGCCCAGCTGATACAGATTCGGACTAAAGCAGAGCACCAGAACATAAAATACGCTGATCTCCTGGACATAAAGACCCGGCTTGAGCAGGAAATTGCTACTTACCGTCGCCTTCTGGAGGGAGAAGACACAATGTAAGGATCTTAGAATCAAGGGCTACGCATCCATGACTACATACTTGCTGTTTTAATGTCCACACATCAAACCCTGTCACTCATTCCCAAGCGTCTATGCCATCCCTAGCACAAAGTCAACTACACACACACACACAGCAACACTAAAAACAAATAAAAATATACCCAAAAGTACACACACACACACCGCAAAAATACCAAATACAGGCTTTGGTACTTCAGGCTGTATTGTAACACAAAGTTAGAAGATGGGTGTACAGATGATAGAGATTGTTCTAATGGTAACTTGTATGATTAGCACATACTTGAAAGCACAGTCACTTCTTGAAATTCTCACTGAGGGGTCGTGCACTGCACAGGAGGCCACAGGGGTCCTGCGGGAACCGATTTAAGAATCATCTGTGTTGCAGCGGCCACTGTCTTCAAATGCCACACCCGGAAAGGTCAACGAGAGAACCCAAGATTCCAACTTTCGTTGATATTTTGTCATTTTCATTAGAAAAACTAATGTAGTGTATATCAAGTGGGTCAGTTTTGAAGCTACGTATTTTTCAAGTTAAAAAGACACATTAGAAGAAACAAGTAAAGGGGAAAATATATAAATAAGCACAGAATTAAAACACACATCACTCGGAATTCATTTCACAACAAACAGAAAAGCAGGTCACTGCTTCATTTTCAAAATGGCAATAACACTTTTTTCTGTTTCTTTTTCTTTTCTTAAAAAAAAAAAAAAAAACAGAACTATAGATCATCAAGTAAGGATCCAGGACAAAGTAGGTAAGTGTTCTAATTTTCACACATTTCCTGTAAGCCTGAATTCTCACTCAGTAGCTTATCTTTATTATTTGTGTCTGGTGAAAAGTAAAGGGAGGTCAGTTCCCCAGTGAGCAGGTACTACCCTGGGGACTCTGAAAATCAAGCACGTCGCATAAAGAAAACTTCCCTATGGGACATTTGTCACACTTCCTGTGATGGGGTGATTTTCTTGGCCCCGTGCTATTGTTGTGCTGAGACATCCTGAGATCCTGGAAATGAAAATAAGATGAAAAGATCCATTTTGCTTGATTCACAACTGTATATTTCTCTTTGGGGTAGGAAGAGTAGAAATTTTTGTAACTTTGGGAAGAGTAACACATTTTCGGCATTTATTTTTAAAGTGGACTTGAGATCATTTAAGAAAGATAACAGGTTAGACTTTTTCTAAAAGAAGGACATACCCCACAAAATGATAAGTAAAAGTTGGATATTATACATCAGCAGGGTTATGTGTCTGAATTAACATTTTATATTTAAATCTAAATTCCAGATGTAAAGAAAGCCAGGAAGGTTACGACAGTTGTGCAAGAAATAGTGGATGGCAAGGTTGTGTCATCTGAAGTCAAAGAAAGGGAGGAAAGGATGTGAACACCTCCGAGGAGAAGGTGCTGCTGAGGTCTTCAAAGAAGTGTAGCTATAATTTTCCCTCCTTACAAGAAGGTCACCACCAGAAAGCACCATTAATGCTTTCTATGATGGGGGGCGGGGCATTTACCAGTCTCTGTACTTGAACGTAAACGTGTTACTCAAAGGAGCGACAGATTTCCTGCAAAAATGAAATCCAGTGAGCATTAAGATATTTAGAACATCATCACTGCCATGTTTACCACAATACAGATTAATTACAAGCTACAGACCACCTAATATCAATTCATTAATGTTCCTGAAAATTGCAGCACATTTCAATTAAGCTAAACTCATGGAGCAGAGAGTCTGTGCAAATAAATCTCTCTCTCTCTCTCTCTCTCTCTCTCTCTCTCTCTCTCTCTAATGTTTTCGGTTTCTGAATTGCAAAATCTCCATTCTGGGGCTCCTGGATTCTTGATTAAAGCAATTTCTTGGTTAATTTCATAAAATTTTCAATATCAGTATAATTCTGCTAGCTTTGAATGATATCTTCTTTTTTTCATTGTCTCCACTGCCTTTTAAAAAACTCATTTCAGCTCTTTGAATAATTTAAAAGTCTAGTTCCGATCATAAATGCTGAGCAGAATGAGAAAGAAGCACATTATGCTTGAAGTGGGAGTAGATTAAAAGCAGAATTAATTAGTGAAACCCTTCTCAAAGAAGAATGCTTCTCCTAATGATAATAAACCACATAAATCATCGGGTTCTCTCTTTTTTATGTAGTGAACATATATCATGTAATGTTGTTTCTCACTATTTTTTATAACAGCTGTAATGGTTATAACTCACATGCCATAAAAGTGTACAATTCACGGGTCTTTAGCGTGTTCCCAGGATTGTGCGACCATCACCATCAGGTCACTTTAGAGCATTTTGTCGTCCCAAAAAGAAACCCCATTAGCGGCCACCCCTCTTCACCCTCCAAGCCCCTGACAGCCACTAATCCACTTCCTCTCTCTGTGGATTTGCCTAATCTGGACACTTCATGTAAATGGAATCATAAATGTGTTCTCTTGTACACAATGCTTAGAGCAGCAGTATTCATAAAAGCCCAGAAATGGAAACAACTCAAATGTCCATCAATTGATGAACAGATAAACAAACTGTGGCATATTCATACAATAGAATATTAGTTGGCACTAAGGAAGGATGAAGTGCATACACACGCTGCAACATGGAGGAACCTTGGAAACATTACACTAAGCAAAAGAGTCCGGGTACAAAAACACGCATATTATAGTCTCTCCTCTTTGCGTTTCAGTGAGTAACAACTGCCTTGCACATGTTTACAGGAAAAACGAATTTTTCCTCTATCACTGTATTCTAGTAAGTGAATAGTTTGGATTTAAGTTTCGATATAGGTTTGCAAATAAATAAAATTTTGAGTGTGATTACTATTATATATAGTAATATATGTTTGGAAACATAACAATCTGATTCACTTAAGAATAATATCTATCATTTATTAAGCACTTACTATATGAACAAAAGAGAGTGCCAGGCATTTTATAGCCATTTCTTATTTAATGTGCACAATAGACACTACAAGGTAGAAGCTGCCTAGTTGCATCACATGAACTTGACAATATGCAATCATTTTTGACCTTCAGAATTAGCAATTTTGTGTGACTTGACCTCATCGTATCATTCCCATTTACATATGAGGACAAATGAGGGTTGTAGATGAGGACATGAAGTAAGTACTTTCCCAAATTAACGGCTAACAGGTAATGGAGCAAGACGAGGAACCTCAGGCTGTTTGTCTCAAGTCATTCTGGGCTTTGGGAATTACCTCTACACCACGCCTTCCGACATCTGAAAAGAAGAATGATGTAGAATTATATAAAATCCAATCTTGGTACTCCTTTAAGCAACTAGCACATGACAATTACTGAGTCCTGCTTGAAGTGTGTGCCTATCCTTAGCTGTTTTGTTGTTTTCTAATTGTCATTTTTACTGACCAGATACTTACAACACCTAATTGTCACCAATGTGCAGCCAACATCACACACAAGGCTTGGTTCAGCACAGCTTTGTCAGAAAAACGTTCTTTTCCAATTTTCATTCCTTTGCTTTTCAAAGAAGTGAAGAGGTTTCTCTCTCATTTATTTCTTAATTTCCTTCCAAGTCGCTCCACTTAATTAATTGCTTTTAAAGAACTTTTAGAAGTGAATTCTTTTGCACCTACCAGCACACATTCCAGAATAGCCTGAAAATTTGCCATGCAAATACCAGAGATCGTGAGTCCATCCAACAACATACCCTACAGGAGAAGGGTTTGTGATTCCCGAGGCGCAGACGTCGCCAGATGACAGTGATGATGCTTTGTTAAAAAGAGGTCAAATTGTTACTTTAACTCAATTTCCTATCATAAAAATGACAATTAATCCTTGACTTTGGTCTATCTCTAGTTTCTTCCGAGTAATCTTGCAATGAAAGTAGGTGACATCACGCACACCTGAGGGACAAGATGGCTCTGCCTCCCGCTCTGTGGGCAGCTGCCATGTGGACGTGAGCGTTAGTCTCTTTGTATCTGTGCCCCTGTATGAGCTAAGAACAGCACGATCCTATTTCTGACAGGCATGCTGATCCAGAGGATGTGTTGTCCGTAAGTACAGGTCTCTTTATCACACATTAAAATCATCACTAATACATTTCACGACTTTCTATGAAATCATCAGTGCAGAAGTGAAGCTACCACCCTCAGAGAGAATCCCTGGAGGTGAAGTTAGGATGGCCAGAACTTCGTTCTCTGGGCTTTGGGAACTGCTTCTGCATAAAGCCTTATAACATCTACAGAGAAGAATAACGTGGAATTCTATAAAAGCAAACCTTGACCAGTGGACACCCTCTGCCCTCGCCCTTACTCACTTGGGGATAGTCTCAGGTACCTGATGACACCCTCAAACAACATTTCCAAGTTAAAGCACTAGTAAGTAATTTCGATTTTTTAAAATTTCCCTTCAAACATCTGTTTTCTCTCCCCTAGACTCGCTTCTAAGATTCCCTTTACCAGCATTTTATTTTATCTTTCTCTTCTTCTCTCTCACCACACACAATCCTCCCCTGCTTTTGAGAACCCTTTAACTCTGAAGTCCCAGAACTCATCCTCCGGTGTGGCCCCTGGGGTCCTTTGTCATCCTCATCTCAAAAGCACAGTGTAAAACGTCGGTAACCCTATGTTCTTTCACTCACTCACAGCAGCTTAAAATTTATTCCAAGCAAAAGCATAAGGTGAATGGACCATGTGACCAGTGAAATGCAGAAAGTGGAAGGTCTGTCTGTCTTTAACTCAGGTGTAAAATTCTACAATCAAAGACCAGACAAGTAACCAATCTAACATGAGAAGATGAGCAACACATCTTACTTAATAAACATCTAAAGATTCACAAATACCACGTAAATAATTACTTCCATTTTGAGAATTCCCTAACCTCTACAAAAGTGAAGACTTAATTCTTTTCGACAGTTCACCCTGGTTCTAGTCATTTTCCTCTCTGCCTCAACTTATATAATCACTTTACCAACAAGCCCAAGATTGTTTCTGTTTTATATATTCCCACCTCCCTACATTTTTACAGCTGTCAAAGGACATTATTTTCATTTCTCAAAATTTCAGAATAAAGGCTTAGTTATTTAATTTAGCTCTCCCCACCCCAAAAATAGTCACTGAAGAAGAAATATTTCTCTTTTCAACTTCTGAAGTTCCTCCCCATTTATAATTGCAGTCAGAACAAATCTTGGTCAAAGAATATCAGTAAATTAGAGCAAAGTCATTTTCAAATGAAATAAATTTTAAATGACACATTCAGGCATATTAAGGATTAAGTTCTTTCAAGCGAAATAACTCCAGGAATGCACAGATAAAGGTTAGCTACACATTAGGCCATGCATCAGGATAAAAATAAATAAATCGGACATAGTCCCTACCTGAGAAATTTACAGACTAGGATAACATATACTATGTACAGAAACATAAAGATATACTGTGTAACCACAATGCATAGATATTGAGCAAAATTATTTAAATTTACATATATGCATGAGAGTTGGGAAATACACATTTCAACACAAAATTGGTTCTGAGTTCACAAACTGAAGTCAACCATATTCCCATATGATGTGATCATATCACTAAATGATGATTCTGACTTCGGCCCATTCCCTCTGAATCTGTAAGCAAGAGTTTCTATGTCAGTGACATGGAATCACTCTGCTTGTGCGTGACTGATAGTTAACAACCCTAGTGTCAAGTTCCTGTGTGGGGAGCACAAGTCTGACTAACACTTTGTAAGATCTCTGGAGATGCCGCTACATGTCAAAAGTACGTGTAAGGATACATCTGCCTCTGTGTTTCCATGATTTCACATGAAGCACCATTTCTTATAAACCCTGAGAATAGATCTCTGGGTCCCGGCCCCTACAGCGAGAAATGAAATTCGAGGAGCAAGCTTTTTGGAAAAGGAAGGAGCTGATGCTCGTGGCTGAGGAGCAGGGCAGAAGCCCAGTCTCACAGCTGGGGAGTCAGAGGGACCCTCTCTCCTTTTTGCTCTTACTGTAAGCAGCAGGGTTGTGCCATCCACAGAAGGCACTGCAAACCTCAGTCCCACCTTCCCTACCTTCTGGCCGCGTGGCCTTTAATAGCCACTTAACATTCTGACCCTCAGGCTGCTCATCCGTAAAGTGGGATGGAAGCCTCCACCAGAGGTAGTTATCATGAAGGTTAAAACTAATGCCTGTAGGTCACCTGGCCCAGAGTCTAGAGCACAGTGAGTACGAGAATGATTCAAACAAAGATAAGCTCAGCCAAAACACTTATAATATACATTAAAAGAACCCTTGGTAAAAAAAAAAAATCTCCATTATGAGACAGAAGCCCCTGGCATTGCCGAATAATGAGTTTTCATTCTCTCAAGAAATGAGCAAACAGATTATGGTCTCTTCTATCAAGCCGAGTCTGCATTAGATTGCTTCATTCTTTCTACATTTGTCTATTGCGAATGAGAATATGTCATTTCTGCCCTGGCTGGTGTGGCTCAGTGGACTGAGCATGGGCCTGGGAACCAAAGGGTCCCTGGTTTGATTCCCAGTCGGGGCACATGCCTGGGTTATGGGCCCGGTCCCCGGTGGGGGGCATGTGAGAGGCAACCGCACATTGATGTTTCTCTCCCTCTCTTTCTCCCTCCCTTCCCCTCTCTCTAAAAATAAATAAATGAAATATTTTGAAAAAAGGAGAAAGAATATGTCACTTCTGCCAGCCTCTTGCTTAAAACCTCCTTATTTGGAAATCCCACCTGCTTGCT